TCCCAGCCTTTCTGGAACGGCAGGGAGTTCAGTGTAGGTTCCTGGAAATATGAGAATACTATCCTGTGTGTATTGTGCAGCGTCAACGAGGGGTTGGAGGCTTCGCGCAGTACTGAAGCCTCCGAGAAAGTAGGTACTAGGGCCGTCCTCAAGTTCACCCAATGAGGCTATTTCGTCCCAATCATCCTCTTCTTCTTCTTCTTCTTCTTCTTCCTCATCTTCTTCCTCCTCTTCCTCCTCAAAGTCCTCGATCTCGTTGTTTAGATTATTAGTTTTGGCCAACATTTTGCGTCCTTTTTACCCTTTTTAAAAATGGTTTATTTAATGAATACGTAAATAAAATACTACATAAAGAAATAGATGGAAAACAATAGTGGTAAAGAAAATAAATAATTTGATAAAACCAATAACAATAAATATAGTATTTTTTCTCCCCTAATCCATGGAAATAATATTAGGCGCAAAAGATAGAAAAAAAAATACATCCTAAACAGGGAGGCCTTTTTCCCTAGCTTGTCCATTTTGCTTTATTTATTTCAGTTTGCTTCTAGGAAAGACGCATGACCTTCTTTTTGTATTTATCAATTTTATGGCGGAGGGCTTGCTCCTCCCGCGTGGATGCTGCGAGCTCCGAGGTGAGAGAATCACAGGAGTGCTTCGTCTCTGCGCTCATCCGGCGGAGCTCCGCCAGGCGCTGCTCGTCCGCCTCCTTTCCCGCGAGGACTTGCCGCTGCGCGCGGAGTGTCGCCGCCGTTTGCTCGAGAGCCGCGCAGTCCTCGCGGAGTTGTTGAAAGGACCCCTGAAGATGCCGCGCCCGCCCAGCTAAATTCCCCAGCCGAACTTTGAAATGCTTCGAGGAGCGCTCAAGGCGATCGGCGTAGGCCGTAGGCGGGGGGATCTGCCCGAGGCCCACTACCACTGCCTCATCACCCGTGTGTTGGGGGGGCGCGTGATCGTTTAGGAGGTCGTCCACGTCATCCGTTACAGGACCACCCACACGAACTGCCACACGATCCTTTACGAGGTCGTCCACGTGATTCGCCACTTCGTTCGACCCCGGCGAGGACCCCCACAGGTCGCCAGGGGCTTTGCGAGGCCGCGTCCGCGGGGAGAAGCGAATGACATCGGCCTCTAAGTTATTGCGATTAATCTCAGTACGGCAAATTGGGCAAGCGAACACAGTTTTGGCGCTGGAAAATTCTAATAGCTGGGCTACACATAAAATATGCATAAAATGCCCACAGCGCAGGACCACTATATTATTTTCTTTTGTGCTATGCACTTCATTTTCTACCCGACGCATTTTCGAAGGGCGCTTCAAATTGGGTTCACTGAACTGGTCAACAGCGTTCAAATTGCCTGGGGTTACCGATAGATTTAGCATTTCTTCTCTGAAGGTAATACGAAATCCTTCGCATGAATTTAATAAAGGTGTTTTATCTAAAACTGTCGATGAGGACGAGAGCGGCAATGTCTGATCCTCATTTTCGTGCTCTTTCACCTTTATTATTGATTGTAAGCAGATTGGGCAGTCCGCCCGCTGAAGTGCTTTGTAAAGCAGCATTTTAATACCCCGATAACGCTTTTCAACCTATTTCTACTTCCTCCTCTACTCACCACAATTTAATGTTTTCAGAGGTAGCTATATATATATATATATAACGGTCAATACTAAACAAAAGAAAAAAAATGTCGTCAACAATTAGAAATCCATATATGGTAACTATTCTTTTTCGTTGTTGTCCCCTAACACCTTTTTAATATGGCATTCTATTACCACTTTCTATTGCTAATCTAATAAAAGTACAAGATGTAACAATTGCGTGAATAAGAGCGACAAGTAATGGAAAGAGGAAATTGTATAGAAACCAAAACGTGGAAAAGATCACTATTCGTCTTTTTGTCATTAATAATGTTGATACTATAAGCCGTTAATTGTATTTTATTATTAGATATCATGAACGCTAGGCATTAAAAAATGGAGAGAGGGTTCGCTCATTCAAGTGCCCACTCAGGAATGGAAGAGGAAAAGATAATTTGCTTACCAACACGTTTGACGAAATTAGACTTCAAGGCCACTTTTACTGCATCTTTCGCACCATTCTGAGGTAAATTATTGCAGCTTCCATCATCTTTTCTAAATTTCAAGGCGCTCTTAACGGTGTTACTAGCATTGTTGGTATTTTCATCGGTACAATAATCGGGATCAAACAGGATGTCTTCTGCCAATTCATACCGCCAGGCGTGAAGGCAAATCGCCGAAGCATTTACAGTTTCACTAAGAGTTGCAATAGGTAACTTTCCAAGACATTCATAGCATAATTCTTCTCCTTTTTTGTTCTCATTCTTTCCATATTCCATACTTTTGTGAAGGGAGGATTGCCTTAAATATTCACGATACGACTTAGGTAGTTTATTGGGATCATAATACACATATGATGATGATGTTATTTTTGGGAGTTTAGAAGTCTCATCAGCCTTATTTATTTCCTCTTCACATTCTTTTTTTGAGGTTGAGTAAGCATTATCCGTTGGTGAGTCGTTTTCTGTTACTTGAAACATTTTTAATGTGTCATCATCAGCAATAGAGGAGCCATATATCGTATCCCCTTCAATAGGAAACCCCCATTTACTTAAGTGCACGCGAATCTGATGCAAACGTCCTGTGAATGGGATGCACTGCAGAATACTTGCTGATCTACTCGCTGGATTATTATTTGTACTATGATTTTCATTGTTTTTGAAATTAATGGAGTCCTTTTCCGTGTAAATCGGCACCGGGTAAAAAAATTTAACCTCTGGCAAAGCGTTATCGCTGTCTGCGCATTTTGCCGTACAGGTGCACTCGTCACTAATGACGGCGAAGAAGCTAAGTCAAGAGTATTTGCCTCGGTGAAACCTTTATTCGTTATTACAGGATTCACAAAAAGAATTCCATCAGGTTGTACATCCCTTACCATATGCGTAACTCCTGCATTATTCTCAGTTTCTCCTTCGTGCGACAGCAGAGGCTGTAGAATACCCTGATTAACATGTCCAATTGTTTCCTCATCCACGCGAAAGACACCAGAAGAGCTGATATCAGTGCTAAAATCCCCCTTTCGAACGTCTTCATCCGGGGGGAATCGTCCGGAAACGCGGGCAATATAGCGTTTTCGCACGCCGTGAGACTCCTCCTCCACCATGCGGCGGATTACCTGTCTCTCCTTTTCTTTTGTATATGTGGAAGAAAGAGGATTTTCGTGGGCTAAATTTGCCATCTCCTCGAGAACAACCTTTTCAGCCTGTTTTGATTTATTCATAAGGGCTCGACTGACGCGGCTGGTGCTCGCCTCGCTCACGCCGAGGAGGAGAATCCCTGAGGTCACTCGATCTAATCGATGGCAGGGCCTCGGCAGTTTTTCCATTGCAATTTCATCCTCTTCTTCATCTTCCTCCTTTTTGTTAATTTCCTTCGGGTTAACCCCCCCTTCAGGGTTTTTTTTCACATTACGAGGGGAATAATACACCCACAACGCCTCCTTTTCCTCCTTTTCGAGATCGTCGGAGGCCACCAGGCTCTGTAGAAGAGGATCATTCTCCCACAACCACGCCGCGATTCGTTTAGGCGAAAGGACGTATTCAAGCATGGCAAGGACAGAATTGAACGCGTAGCGCCCAGTTGCATGAGTGGGCAGGCCGGTGGGTTTATTCACCGCGATCAGCCCCCCTTCCCCTGGATGAATCCACACCGCGAGAAGGCGAATCGGCGATACCCCGTCCATCCCGATCGAAGCGGGGATCTCATGCCGATGAACGGTATGCAGAACGACGTCGCCATGCCGGAGGACGACATCACCGTCGTAAAAGGTAGAAAAACCCGTGGCAGGAGAATCGGAACCGTTGGGCGATTCCCCCTGAAAATGATTTAATTCCGCATGCGTATTTTTTAAATCCGAGGCGAGGCCGCGTTTGAGCAGCCGGCGCGGAAGATTATCGCTTGCGAGGGGAGGCCCGGCCGCCGCGTTGGCCTCGAGGAGGGCTCGGCGCGAGCCGCATCGCAGACGACCCGCCGCCAGGCAGTTTTGGTAATAATCCCGTCCGTGGTGAGACATCTCCGCGGCGTAGACGTCGAGCAGCCGCCGCCCCACCCAGCGGCCCTTCACAAAGACTTTAAAGGTGAAGTCGTAGGGCAGGACATGCCGGTGAGCCCGTTGTTGGGTTGCTGCTATTGTTGCAGTTGCAGTTTCGGTTATTGATGCTCCAGTTGCCGCCGTTGCTGTTGATGTTGCTGCCGTTGTTGGGGAGGAGGTCACGGTATACCACGGGAAGCCAGGGATGAGTGGGGTGGCATAGCGCTGGCGAAGTCGTGCATCACACCAGGAGGCATCCTCGAGGCGTTGGAGCTTGCTCGGAGTGAGATGCATCTTAGGAAAATAATAACCAAAAAAAAATGGACAAGTTGGGGAGTAATTGCATCAAAGGGAAATTGTGGTGTTGACTTACCACCACTGCATTCATTACAAGAAAGTGAAAGGTGGGTGAGGTGAGCTATCTTTTGCATAGTTTATTTTTACCAATAGATGTTTGTGCCTGAAAAAAACATTAACACCAGAGTGGTTTGAAAATATAAAATTATTGAACACCACTTTGCATTGCCTGAACTTTTATCGAAGGTGATGGTACGGGTTCTGTGATAAACTTCATTCGCACTAACTCATCCATGAGACGGGTGTAGTTTTTGGCTTGACGAACGTAATCTAAGGCATAAGCAATATTACGGATTTCCTTAAATACTAAATTCAAACCCCTACTATCATTATCCCCGTTGAAGTCCTCCATTTCAATGCAGGTGAGCTTCAAACAAGTGAACCATGTAGCGTAATTCCAATAACTTGCATCTGTATGTCGCAAAAAACCCATTGCGGAGCTGATTTCAGCTACCTCGCTTAAAGTTATTTCACGTAGCTCGTTTGATTTGCTTGATTCCATCGGATTTAAACCCACAAAGTTATTTACTATAGTTGAACCTTCTGAAATAGCGTGATCATACGGATTGCTCGAAGAAGATTTTCCTTTTTCATGGATAAAGTTGCCAACAGCTCGTCTACGCCATGTTGAAGTTCCTTCTGTTTTTTTTTTCTTGCGTTCTTCAAGGCAAAGTAAGCTTAGCTTTGCTTCCTCCGCACATTGCCTGCGCTCTATATTTTCAACTAGCGGGGTATCCGAAGCTGAAGAGACGCTCACACGATCCCAAAATTCTTTTTTCCTTAAATATTTTGCATTTTCATCTGGGGTATCTTCATACTTCTTGTTTTGGACGCTTGAGATCGAGTCTTTTTTCCATTTGGAGTACTCTAAGGTGATAGAATCCTCTATTCTGTTCCGCACTACACTGCACAATATGTTGAGGTGAGAAATCACCATCACTGGGTTCACCCCCGGCTGGAAGTCAGCGAGATATTTAGTCACTTGTTCCGCCTGAGTAGCTAAAAGCGCATCTTGATCAAGATAAGCATGCAAAATATGCTTCATACTCTTATTAGAATAAATTTTCTCCTCATCCCAAGAGATTTGTATTCTATTAGTAGCTGAAAAAGATTCTAAATGAAGCCTCAAGGAGTAACCTTCTGCACATTTTGCCATGCAAGTTGCTATCACTGCAATTGTAGAGCTTGGCAGCTGTTCCACCACACTCAGTGCTGACAACAAGAGTTCGTAGAGTATGCTTTGTGTACTATAGAGCATTGTAATTGGCACTAAAGGTAAATCCAAAATTGAGTTAATCACTTCGACAAGATTTATAATATTTAATAATGCTACTGAATCAACTGGAGTGGTTAAATCATCCAGCCGCTCATGATCCTCACGCTGCAGTCTGACAAATGCCTTTTCGTTCGTATTATTTACTTCCGATAGCTTGAGAGCCCACGCTGGGTCTTGAAAAGTGTAAGATGCATTCCTTATTTCTTCTGAATCAATATGTGGTTTGTCTTTATTTATTTTTCCGTAAAGGTCATCCATTCTTCCCTTTTCTTCTTCCTTTTTGCTTTTATGTTCTGATGGAATCATAAAATACCGCAGCCGATGGTGGATTAAAAAAAGCAATACTGCTTGTATTTCTTGTATAAATTCTATATTAGAAGACGAATTTAACGCCGTGGCGCTGGTTGCCGTTTCAGAGCTTTCTAAAAGAAGGGAGGAAAGTGATGTACAAATACTTCGGATAACTTTTATTATTTCCTGGTTTTCCGTTGGAAGGAGGTCTTCCATATTTTTACAGCTGCATTCCTCCTTTTCTTTATTTCCGTCATCAATATGTTTATTTTGCTCAAAAAACGCACTGTGGTAGGTACGCATCCACCAACTAGATGGATTTTCTGTGGAATTTGAGCAGTAAAGTATTTGATTGATTCCCATACATGAGTTGAGTGGAATATTACGAAGAGGAAGAGAGGCTGATATAGAAAAGCTAGCATAAAGGGTTCGTTGAAATGTGGTTAGCTTACGAGAACATAACACACCTCGCATTTGCCTGCGGAAAGTGCTAAGATGAGCACGCGAGGCGAATGAATTCCGTGCGGAATTCATTTAAATATACTCATGAAGAAAAGGAGTGCTGAATATGTGAAAACAATCAACATAAAGTAAAAAGAAGGATAAAAGGGTAAGGGGGAAGGGTACTGTTACTTTATCCACTTGTGCCCGTCACTGTGAACCCAATATTTCATTGTAACATATAGTATCCGTGTACCAATTTAGAAGCACTAATATATCAATTTAGATAAATCAATAGACACGCACGCATATGTACAGATATATTTATATGGATGCGTATAATTACTTAAAGCGAGGCTTCATCTGGTAATAGACCTTCCTCGAAGGCTGTTTTCAGCCTACTGGATAGTTCTGGCGATAAATCAGATCCGTAGTGAAGTAAAAGTGCCTGCAGTTGTCTTCCTTGTTCTACCGTAATCGGGCGTACATGTTTGCCGGTTTTAGGATCCACCAAATCATCTTGGTGCTCGATCGCCACCTGCAGCATCGCGTCAGCCTGCGTAAAAGCACTCTGTAGGGGCTTTTTGGGAATATAAATTCGAAGATTTACGATAATATCCAGTGCGTTCAAAATTACCACAAGGGCAGGGAACTCAACTTCATCCAAACGGCAAACCACTTGCTCACCTATAGCACGTAATTTTTGACGAGTTGGTTCTGCATGCAACGCATTCCGCCCGCTATCGCTCACCTTATTATAGCAAATGCGAATAGCTGTTAGCGCGCTATTCGCCATGTGATGAGTAAGCTTATCCGAGCTACATATCCGCTCCACAAGCCTCTCACACGTTTCCAGGCGAAGCAGTCGAAATTTCCGGAGCACGTGGACGAGTGTCGCAGACTCTTGAGGGGTAAAATCGTTTAAATGATTCGTTGCGCGAACTGCGAGAGCTTGAATCGGTAAAGGTGTCATATCATGAACAGAATAGCACTGTAAAATACCCAGCAAAGACGGCAAATCAAACTCGTTCGCGAGCAAAGCAATACGCCTCATCATTGCGGCAAGTACCTTACGCCGCACATCTAACGTCTCCTTTGGACTATCACGTCTCGATTTGAACAGCTTCGTGGTGAGGGCTTTGATCGTGGGGAGCTCAATATGCTCGTAGTTTGAAAATACCATGAGCGCCTTCTCCAGACGATTCCATAGATGTCGATTGTAAAAGTTCGCGGCGATCATATGGGTGGCGATGTAGAGCACATCGTCGGGCGCGAGCACGCCGTTGTTGTCCCGGCGCAGAAACTCCACCGTGAGCATTCGCATCACCGCGGTGTAGGCCGGCGCCGTCATCCACCCGCGTGTGTGGAGGGCGGTGGTGTAGAAGAGCGTGCGGCGCAGCTCGTGCATCCCGGCCTGCCCCACTATCCCAGTCCCGCGCAGCTGCTCCAGCAGCGCGTCCACCTCGCTCGTGGTGACCTCCCGCAGCTCCTCGAGCATCTCCGCGAGGGCCTCATCCGAGATGACCGCCCCGCCCGCCGGGGCCGCCTCCTGGGCCTTTCGCTGCTGTTCGAGCTCGTCGGCCTTGGCGACGGACTCCGAGATGGTGTTGCAGTGGGACGTGAGGGCGGTTGTGGGGGCGGGGAGCCCAACCCCCGCCGCGTCCCCGGAGCCCGGGGAGTACCACACCGCCAGGGACGTGGCGGAGGGGTTGGCCTTGGAGTCCAGGTCGTGCGGGGGTTCGAACCCCGCCGGGGGCTGCGCCACGTCGCGCGGCTGACGCAGAACGCGCGAGACGGCGAAGCCGTGGGTCGCCAGCCCCCGCCGTGGGTCGCGCAGAAGGGGCGTGGGGACGACAGCGGCCTCGCGAAACACGCGCGGGATTCGCCTCATCGCATGACTTGGTGTAAAGGGAAGACTACCACTACAACGTAGCTACTGCTTCAGGGAGACTACCAATACAATAAGTCTAAAGGAAACCAATAGAACCTTTAGAGATTACTAATGGACACGGGGTTTGATCGATACGTTTTGAAACACAAGGTTCGTCAGACAAAGACTTTTTTTTTTTAAGTTGATTAAAATATTGCGTTGAAGCAATCCTAGGAAAAAAATAAAATAAAGAGCTGAGGAGAAAAGGAATTTATAAATTAAACCAATAAAATAGACAAAGAATCAATATATGCTACCACGCTCTTGGACACAGTACATACTGATAGATTGGCTATCAAATGTGCTTGTAGAAATACATATCTATAGAGCATGTAAAAAGACGCCTATGATATTAAATATTTATTAAGTTAAAGTCGATGATAATGTAAAATTAAACCCTTCTGGACACAAATCCACAAATGATCAAATATTTAAGGGCAATAAATAAAGACACTGAAAAAAGACGGAAGGCCGATGGTAAAAAAAATATTGAATTATAACATTTCAAATACATACCATTGGAAATATCACAAAATATGAAAGAATAAAAATATCCATAAATACGCATATATGTATGTAATGATTAATATTCGCACATATGTTATTTTGTACAGCAAGATAAACCTTAATAACTTACCATACATTCAACTTAGTGATAGGCTTATGGTTAGCATTATATGGTGAATAAATCAAAATGTAATGTAGTAATAAAATTTATTTCATCTGTCAAAATATTACTTCGACAGACCTTAAAAAAAAATTGTGATACTGGGTGAAACCCTACTAAAAAAAGGTATAATTAACTTTCTTTAAAATAATTTTCTATAACATAAAATGCTTGAATAATCCTCGTATCCATCGAATCCCTATGGCACAAAGATTAAAATAAGTGATTATGTACCAGACTTTTACTTATTTTGCATTCTTTTTTTCTACAACAGAGAATCTATATTTAAACACTTAAAAGAATTGCTAATGACAGAATATGGCATACGCCTATTTTATAGAAAGGCAACTCTTTCGGTCAAATATAATATACAAAAAAATATATATATATATTAATAAATAAATAAATGATAAACAAACACCATTTTTGGAAACAAATTTAGAACATTTCTTTGCAGGATCAAGTACTCTAAAGGACTTTTGAGCAATATCAGCAGTTTAGAAAAAAGATAACTAATGACGAAACTCATCAAGAAAATAGACTTTAAGAGATACATATAAATAATATACATAAAAATAATCTAAAATAACGTAAAGAATAATACTAGAGAGATGCATCAGCAGTAAGATGAGAAAAATATTTATATTGAAAATCAATATTATATGAGGCAAAAGAAACTAAGTCGTTCGAATCGATAGAAGGCTCAAACAAAGCAACCTCAAAAACAATAGCATGAGAAGAAAGAAAACCATGAGGAGTAATACGATAGAAGAGCAAAGGTACTGGTTCATTTGATTGATCATTTAGGTCAAACAAAGCAGCGTCATAAACAGGTCTATCGGATACAAGAGACTCATGAAAAGCTAAGCAATAAGAGG